AAAAAAAAAAAAAAACAGAATCCAAAGTTGCTTATATACTGATTATGAAAATATATTTTTTGCTTGAGTAAAGACAGAAGGGAGCTTGGCAAAATGAAAACCGTTCAATTCAGGTAGTAAAAACCTTTACTAACTTTTTCCTTTTATATTTCTTTTAATTTGCCTTTCTTTAATATTCTTTTTAATTTAAATTCAATTAGCCAATATATAGTACATCATTAGTTTTTGGTGTAATGTTCAATGATTCATTAGTTGCGTATAACACCCAGTGCTCATCACATCACGTGCCCTCCTTAATGTCCACCACTCAGTTACCCCGTCCCCCCACCCACCTCCCTTTCCATAACCCTCAATTTGTTTCCCAGATTAATTTGCTTTAATAGTGTATTTTTCTCAACTTTTAAGATGAGCATCTCCCAAGATATAAAACAATTCACCTCACCATGATTACAGCTTTATGAGTTTCCCAAGTTCCATGTGCTCCAGACTGCAGATATACCCACTTATAATTTTACTCTTTTTACTCTAAAGTTTAAATTCAGGAAAGAAGCATACCTCACAGGCTGTACACAAGACACAGTATGTCTGCCCTTGGCTTTCTCTGGGGAAGACTCATATTTTTCCGAAGTATCTTGATGAGCACTGCCTTCTTCCTCTTCCTCTGGCTTCTTTTTATTGTTAGAACTTCAGTTCAAAAGGACAAAAAAAAAAATACTCTAAATTCCCTAAAGCATACCCTGCTGTACTCTCCTCCCCAAATCTACCACATATGGCTTAAATTTTCTCATTCTTTAGGACAACAAGCATGTCTCAACCACAAGATTCTTCCAGTAGCACCATTAGATCATATGTACCAATGGATACAATGGGTAAACTTCAAGAACACACCAATAAAAGTCAAGGTGAGAATTGTCTGATGATGGTTCAGGAGGGTGGGGAGGGATTCCACCTGATCATTATCAGATGCACAAATGGCAGATAGCTAACCATCTTCCCAATATCTATTCTACTTTCTTTCTTATTAATAGAACTCCAATTTTGTTTGGGGCAGCAATGTCCAAAGGCAAAATTACTGTACTTGTTTCAACAGCCTCTCTTGCAACTAGGGAGAATCCAAGTGACACAATAGGGCAACTGAAGTATAAGCAGAGTTTCTGGAATATTTTCACTTTTGTGATATGGGTGCTGTCCCTTGTCCTTTGCCATGCCCTCCTTCTTCTCTTGAACATGGATGTGATACCTAGAAATATAGCAGCTACCTTGCGACAATGTGGCAACAAGCACAAGGAAGAAGCTGAGAAACACAGAGTTGCCATCTTGAGTAACAAAGCATGAAGAAAAGCTAACACAGAGATGTTGCCCTGGCATTGTTCAGTCACTGAACCAAAGCCAACAGCAAACTTCTGTGGAGCAAATAAATCACTATTCTTTAAACTACTCTAGCGCATGGGTGCCTGGGTGACTCAGTCATCAAGTGTCTGCCTTCGGCTCAGGTCGTGATCCCAGGGTCCTGGGATCGAGCCCCGCATTGGGCTCCCTGCTCAGCGGGAAGGCTGCTTCTCCCT